TTTTCGTTTGATTGAATCCCTAACACGTTTTCTAAATAGCTTTCTGCAAGTTTCCGTTTTTCTCCTATTCTCCAATTCAATTTGAAGTTTGGATGTAAGCAACTATTAATTCCTTTTTCTCAAACGTAACGTCAAATCTAAAGTTAAATATCAAATTAATAAAAAATAAATCACAACATTACTTTTTAATTATCAAACTGTATGAACAAAATGTATTAAATACTAATTGTATAAACTCGTGAGATGATGAACCGACATATTTCGGTAGATGCGAGCAAAACCACAAAATGTTCGTGTATGTGCTTTTTATTAAATTCCAAGAAAAATTACAGACGAAAAATTTCGATCTCTTTGTTTGAATCTTTATCAATGTACAACACACATAATTAAATTATTAATGCTTCACATTGTAAGTGCGCAATGATCTTACTACAATAATTTTTAATTTTAATTTGTTTTGTTTTGTACACTGATGAAGATCTATAAACAAGAAATCAAACAGTCTGCAATTTTTCTTGGAATTCAATGTTATCTGCGATTAGCGTCTGTTTTATGGGCATCTGTAGACAGGATGTGTTACGCGAGGCTAGAACCGACTTGATAGCCAATCAATATGCTACTTTTCTACAAAAGCATAATGTTGACTAGCATTGCGCACAACGCATTGAAGCGTTTTTCTGCAGACGCCGTTATGTAAGAAAAATATTATAAATTTGAAAGTAACGATAAAGTAACGCCTCATTTTGTTACTCGTTACCGAAGAAATGTAACGTCGTTACTGCTTTCGTTACACATAAAAAAAAGTAACGTCGTTACGGAGTCGTTACCAAAGAAAAGTAACTGTAACGGTAACGTCGTTACAAGTAACGCGTTACTTTCCAACCCTGGCGTTAACTCTGGGTTTCGTCAGCGCGAGAGCGCCCGCTGAGAATCGCTCGACGGTCCTTGCGAATCGTCGGCAACTCGTATCAGCGTTAGCTCGGGGTTTCGACAGCGCGAGAGCGCCCGCTGAGAATCGCTCAACGGTTCTTGCGAATCGTCGGCAATCCGTATCAGCGTTAGCTCTATTTTAACAAAGGGAGCAACTGTCCTGGTAATTACTTTTAATCTTTGATCGCGTGAGGCACAGGTGACGTATTTGCGACTTAATACTAGCACTTACTACATATTGTTAATCTCGTACTAGGCGGCAGCAAGCAGCAACAGAGCGGCGGTCTCGAGTGAGCTTCAATTAAAAAACAGGATCCACACTTGTTGCAAACACAGTTGTTCTTTTGATCACTTATTTCGCACTTCGTTTACTCGCGTACTGGTCGGGACCGCGCTTTGGAAAATTTTGTTTTTACTGACTCGAAGAGCCCTGCGGGGCTCTTTTATATCCGTGATTCGGAAAACTCGGGACCAATCGAAATTTCACGATAGGTCACCCGATTTCTCGTTATCCGTCGGATTTCCCTTGATTTCACATTCCCGGGGTGTAAGTTTCCGTTTAAGGTAAAAAAAGGAAAATTAACCAAGAAAAAAAAACAGGAATTTTCCAAACTCGATGTTTCTTGATTCTATCAATCACTGATATCCGGTCTCGCGCCAGTACCGCGCGGCGGCGTTCCCGTGATATCATATCTCGTTGTTATTACGTCGCGAGGAGGAAGTGGAGTTCACGGGACGTAACATAAATATAAATAAAAAAATGAACGTTTTTTTTTCACCAATGTAACTGAACAAACTTCCGACTAAATCACTCAGTAGTCTTTGTAAGATATTAAATGTTATTGATCTAACATTGGTTCCGCCTATTCGTGCCACTTGTGTAATCTAAAAAGTAAATAAAATCATATCATCAATTTCATTTCTTTATAAATAAATAAATTATAAATATAAATTAAATTAGAAAGATAAATTATATATATATATATATATATAT